CAAAGGAAAAAACGAGGGCTGATTAAGTTGAAGAAGAACTGGAGTATCAAAGGTTAAAACTGGCCTATGGGAAGCGACCTTTGGTGACACCTCGTTTCCTGGTTCGTCTGTGGAGTCTGTTCTCTACAGTAGGCGATGCCATGTAGGAACAAAGGCGCTGTTGTGTTGGCATACGGCCCTCGTTGGTATGGCGCCAAGCGCATGTTGGCAGGAGGTACTATGTGATGGGAATCTAAAAGACCAGCACACTCTATAGAAGGTATACTTACTGCTGTGAAGTGCATGCAAAGGACTGCAAAGTATGCACAAGGATGTACTAAACCTGGTTTTTATTCTGAAGGGAAGTTGCTTTGGGCGAGCATCTGAAGGAGAGGAGGGGTGAAGACCCCAGCTCCGGACTGGGGGATGTGGTCATGGATGAGTACAGGCCGGGCCAGACCTCCTGGGGACCTTCTCTATCTGCTCAAGTGAAACAGGATTACAACACAGACAGAAAACGAAAAATGGAAAAATGGAAATTTAGAATTTGAATGAAATTTATGTGCACATGGGGAAACAACACAAAAAAATAGACAGACAACAAATCCTGAAACAAAGTATTAGTAAATTGCTTGTTTTGATCGGCAATATACTTTAACAAACTCTTCCAGTAAACAAAATAGCAGATTTCAAAAGAATCTGCACTACACTCCTTGGTATGTGTGTATGGAGTAGACAGTAGACACCAGAGACGTATGGCATCCGTCAGCCCCTCCTCCCTGTGTATGTGTGGTCTTCAGTCAAGGGGTCACTGCCAGTACCTCACGTGCTTTATGTGAGTGTTGCAAAGACTGAGAACACTGGACATTCTATATTCACTGATTAGTTTCATTAAAGTGAGATGACCATAGGCCTTTACTCCCTTGAAGACCATGGCCATCATACACGCTTGAGTTGTTTGTTTGGCGGTTAAGTAGGACTAGATTTTAGACTTATATTCCTCAGACTATAGCCTACATACTGAGAAAAAAAACCCGAAAAAAATAAATAGTAAAACATAGATGATATTTGCGCTAGTTTGGGGAGTGGTCTGGATTTTTGGGGGAGCTCACGCATTTTATATGTGGGAGGGGAGAGGAAACAGCGCCATGCAAAAGGGCGGTATATGAACAATTTTGTATTCTGCTGCTGCGTTCCTGCCCCATCCCCCAAAGTGTGTGTTTCTTTTTTTCTTTCTTTTTTTTTGTTTTACTTCCCCTGTCTCTCCCTTCCCCAACCCACAACCCCAGCCCCCTCTCCACCAGCAGGTTGTTTAATACTTTCCAGATTTCTGCTGCATGCCGTCGCTCTCCTCCTGGAAGAGTCACAAATCTGCTGATGGAATTTGGCGGAAAAGCTCTGGGAGTAAAAGCATGAGACCAGAGCAGCCAGTGTCGCAGAGACGAGGGAAGAGCGCCACCTGCTGTTCCAGGAGACGTCTCAGGAACTTTCAAAGTTTGACAGGCTTTAGATCTCACAGTTTTACGAAGGAGAAACAGCTGCAAAACAGAGTTGCATTACAAAGCTAGAAGAGTGGTGGTCCCCTGAACAAATCAGCCATTTCCGGTGTTAAATAACTCCCAAAATGAGGCCCATATCTGGAGCTTTTACTCGGTTTACAGTAGTCCGTTAGTTCACAGTACTCACTATTCACACATGCTGATGCATCTTCTGTATTCAGAGCACTGTCATGTAGACACTGGGCGGCACGGTGGCTGAGTGGATAGCACTCTCGCCTCTCAGCAAGAAGATTCTGGGTTCGAATCCCGGTTGGACCAGGGCCTTTCTGAGTGGAGTTTGCATGTTCTCCCCGTGTCTGCGTAGGTTTCCTCCAGGTACTCTGGTTTCCCCTACCACTAAAAATATGTACAATAGGTCTAGCATGTGCCTCCTGTACTGGCGACCCCGCTCCCATCTCTGTGTGGAGTGAGAGATTAATGCCCAAAAATAACAATTGTAAACCGCTTTGAGACTCTGATCTGGAGTGAAAAGGCGGTATATAAATAAAGATTACTTACTACTACTACTAGACCAATCATGGATGTATTATACTGTCCAATGAGATCAATGCAAACTTCATTTCAATATATATTTCACCAGCCACGAATAGTAGTGCTTATTTTTTTTATTTTTTTTTATTTTACTGTTACTTTACTGCAACATTGTGGAAATGGAAAAAACCAGGAAAGACGCTTAAACAACTATTGCAAAATATACACTTAACCAATTTGGCGCCACAGTGGCATCTCTCTTCATGACCTCCTGCCGCTAAACATTATCTATTTCTCAAACCTTTTATGTTTCTGTCATTGATAGTAATCCTGTAACTCTGAGAAAGGTCTTATATTTTTAAAACATTTCTGAAATACCTCTTAGGCCTAAAGGATTGACAATAGTTTGGAAAGTAAAGGATGGCAATAGTATTTTCCGTCTCCTACTTCTAATAATCAGCAAAATGAGCCAAACTAGTTTCAGAATTGTAGTTTGTCACAGTAACACACCCATTTGAGTTCACATGAGCGCTCACCCTGCTGCCACTAGATGGCACTGTGCAATAAAATGTTAAATTAGAACGCGCCTGGTTGCACGCTCCACAAACGAGATAAATCTGCTGAACGGGGTGATTAAAACAAAACCCTTTAGTTCCAAAAGAAGCAACTGCAGCAGAGATTTTGTCATTGAAGAAAAAAAAAAAAAACCCTAACAATCTTGAAAAGAGTAATGAGTTGATACCAGCAGAGGAAAGTAGGATCAATAGCTCTACTGGTTTGTATTGACGACAGCATTCAATATAAATTCTCTGCATTTTACCGCCGGTGTAGGAATAATAGCCTTTGCAGCCCTCTTCCCACCCCTACGCTGGATTAGACACTGATAGAATATGATTGAAAGGCAGCCATTAAACACCTCCCTAAAGTATGATCACAGAAGTAGAAACAAACAGGACGTGCGTGTGCGTGTCATAGTTCAGCATCAAAGCACTGGTTTGATACCATAGATGCGTCAGAAGCCTTACTGGTAGAGCTGTGTTCTTTAAATACCCATCAAAACTCGTAGCCTAATGATTTCATCACTGTAATCAGTTTGGACAGATGCAAAACCACACACTCTGAAGCTAATATTTATAAGTGGGTGGTGAGATTTACAGGGCTACACGTCATTTACTGCTTTTCTGAGTGTTCTTGTAAGAGAGAGCGATATCAGAGCAGTGACAGTACATTTCCAAGAAGAATGCTTCAAAATAATTAAGTTACTTTCCATTTTATAGGCAATGAGAAAAACTCAACCTTTCAGCACATAACATGGCCCCATCCATCAATCCTATGTCTATTCTCTATATAGTTTACTTCTACTTCCAAGAATTCCAACAATGCACAACCTGGCATGAAGAGGTTAAGGTAACTGCTTCATTGAGTCTCCTCTAGATTGACCCAATGTCCTTCCTTCCATCCTTTCACTTTGCAATTGTGAGGAAATAAGCACTTGAGGAAGTGCCAGTCACTTGAAAGTAGACACAATAGGAAGCCATACAAACCGTTCATTATTTATTTTATTGACAAAATATGTTATTTTGGATACAAAGAAAGAATGTAAATATACAGTATAAAGAACATTAAGGCTTAATATCCCACATTATAGACAAAACACGTAGCCTTCACGCTCGCCGCCACATCACAATGTAGTGTTTGTGTACATGTGCCGTTCGTTTATCCTTTTCCTTACTCAAATTGAACCGAGATTACCCTTGTGGACAGACAGATTTGACGGGTCCAAAAAGAGTCATGATGGAATTAAGTTTTTGGCGAGAAAACGGTTATTTGGCCTGTCAGTTATAGTTAAGGCAACAGAATAGATTAAATCCAAGGGTGCCCCAGTACTTGTGGGTATGAATATTAGTGATGCAAGAGATACAGTCAAAATGCAACTAACAGGCAGACTGTCGAAATGGCATTTTTGTATTACTTTACATTACTGCAGGGCTGGCTTTTCAATCTTAAAATTAACAGAGACATTTCTCATAAGAAACACATGCGTTCGAAATATGTAGTGATTTCTTTCTGTAGACAAAGTGTAATGCTCCTTTGTGGCTTGTAGTGATGTGTAAAACGCGTTACTCATTGCTGCTACTTTTCAAAGCAATTCACAGGAAGTGGTTGTGCAGCGCTTTTCATTTCCAACCTGACATAACAGATTTAACAAAAAGGCACATTTCTTGTCAGTTTTAACAGTGGGCCATGCAATTACGTCACTTTTTCTTTTACAAATCATCCCTTAATAACAAGTACGTTTCCAATATGTCTTTGTGGCACAGGGCTTTTCATTTGGAAACAGCAGAGTTTTGATTCCTTTTGATATGGAAATGGCAGCCTTTGAGCGCTGTGACCCTGAGTTACATGAGGAGGAAACTCTTGACAGATCTATGGCACTTTTCTAAAATATTTTGAGACGACAGCGACTCCAAGTGCGGAAGGACAGAGTTTTTCACACTCCGCTGAAAAACACGGCCCCCTTTTTCAATGTGACAGACCACCCACCAGTGATGCCCATCGTGACAGGGCCCTTCTGTTGTGCCCGGGCCTCCTGATGCCCCACAGCCAGAGACAACAAAGTCAGAACACGGAGAGAAAAGCGACGACACATGTGACACATCAAGCGAGAAAGGGCGCGTGAACTCCGGCTTTAGTTGTGGAGAAGCGGTTTTTTTTTTTCCCCCGACAATAGTTTCCTCCCAGCTCGTCCTACTTGTAAACTTCCGCCATGCTAATGTGTGGAATGCGTCTCGAAAAAGAGCAGTCTCTCCTGTGGCACGTTCACAAAAGGCACAGACGCATTGACAGGCGATCAAAAAGTGCACGTCCTAAAGGAGCAGTCGCTTTTTGGTGAGATTTCCTCTCAACAATCCCATTCCCACACCTACTGTTCCATTCACACAGTCAAAAGGACAGCAGCGTTCAAAGCCCATGGCACGCTCTGTAGCCTTTTCATACTCTTATCTCATCGTCTTCATCTTCCATAAAGGAGGAAAAGTTGCTCTCCTCTTCTGGCGGCGCGCTGAAGGTGGCGCTGTCCGTGTCGCCCGTGTACGCTTGGCTCATTTGCTTGTCGTCCAGAGCGGCGGAGCTGGAGCTGGACATGGAGCAGCTGTCCAGATGTTGCAGGTGTTTGGGCCGTGTCTCCGGAGTGTACTCTGGCGTGTAGGGCCCGCCGTGCTCTGGCCCCAGATCAAAGGCGTTGCTTGTGCGCGTCAACTGCAAACCGCCGCCTCCTTGTTCCTCTGCCATCATCTCATCCACTCCATCCCCCCCTCGCTCTGGGCTTTCCTCCTCCCCGTGGTGGCTAAGTGGAGGCGAACCGTGGCCTTCGCTGCTCTTGCCTTCCTCGTATCCTAAATCGTCTTCTTGATTATCCATGACACCCAGAATGTCACCCAGCATGGACGGGCCCAGGTCCAAGTGGAAGGACATCACTGATTCGGCGTGCTTCATCCCACCTCCAAAGTGCTGGGGGGTTTCTGGAAGTTCGGTCAACTCTCCGAAGTTGCGTTCTTGAATTTCCACAAAATAGTTTGCAGCCGCGGCCCCCCCATCATCCATTTGTGGTTTTGCCGGACTACAGGCGAGACTCGTGGGCCCGGTGCTGTTGCCCCCGTCTTGGTCGTTGAGGAAGGGCAAAGACATGGCGTTCTTGACATAAGTAGGCGACCCGTCCAGCGCGTCGTCCACCCTGGTCACGGACTGCGATCTTTTGCTGCTCTTGAAGGTCCGGGACAGCAGGCCGGGACGGGGGGAGCGGGGGAAGGAGGTGGTCTCTGAGGGAGGTTCCCCAGAGCGGGTGCTGAGGAACGAGGTGTCTCCGAAGGCGTCGCCGCTGCGGCCCACGTGCATGGTGTGGCGGAAGTCCCCCAAAGGCGCGCTGATCATCTCGCGGGTCAGGTCCACGCGGTTGCGGCGTTTGGCCTGGGACGAGCCAGACACGAGCTGCTTCAGGATCGGCATGATGAGGATGGTGACCTTTCAGATGGGCTCAGTAGAATGATGGAGTGAATCTCAGTTGGTTGAAAAAACCTGAAACAAAAAAACAAAAGTAAAGACAAATGTTTATACATTTTATCTACCAATAAAACAATAAAATATCTCATGCATTTAGAGAACAATTATCACACAGGGCCATTCTAAATGCAAGAAAATGAACATTGTCAGAGCACTACAGGCCATAAGACATCAACCTGAGAAGAAGACGCCACAAAAACCCCAAAAGTCTAAATTTGACACACCCCTTTAATTGATCATTCCAGGAATCCTGAAATCAAATCGACACGAGAGGTGATTGTGAATGTCTGTTTTGCTGTTTATCGTTGCATTCTGTTTTTATACAAGTTTGAAATCAATAATTACTATAGATGTACAAGTTTGGAATACATCATCACTATTACTACTATACTAAAACTGATACAAATAAAAATCAAAAATAGAGAAGTGCAATTACAGAGCTATTACCGTCTTTATCATAATGATGATTATTTTGAGGGTATTTAAAATGTCACCGCTAATTGTAAGATTTGACCCCATCACTTAAATCCCAAAATGATAAGCAAGACTGCAGAGAGATGACCTCAGATATGCACTGGTGAAAAACACGGCACGGCAACACCACAGGATTTCATTTTGGATAGCCACAGACCAGCACGAGCTATGGAGGAATGCTTGGGATCTTCTCCTTTAATGCGCCATAGAAACTTGCAACTTCATTTTCCTCTCATGCCCGAGAACTCTGCCCGTCATCCGGGTCTACGACGGACTAGACAAACGCAATCACGACAGGAAAATACAAACCACTTGCTTCCTCTAGAAATCGTGACTGACGGCTGCCATATAAGTCGCATGCATTATTAAAACGCTCAGAGGGGGAAACAGCACCACAGGCGACCAACAAAGCAACACTACTCCCCCCGGCTCTGCACACATGGGCGTCTCATTAGGTATCCATACTGCTGTACAAAATAAACATAAAAAAAGGAGTCTCGTCTGGGGTGGTCAGGCAATGTTTAGACTCAAGGGGTGGAAAAAAAAAAGTCTATCTCCAAAATGCTTACCGTGCTGTCTACATGTCTGGTTTGCCCATAACGGCGTCTGACTGTCGCGTCAAGTGCTTTCGGGGGGGGTAGTTTCTTTTGGAGCAATTTGAGCCGCTTTCTCGGTCCCGCCCCGCATGTGCACTCCAGCTGAGGCACAACGCTCTTCCTGTTAAGGCCCTCACCTGCAGAGGTTTCCATAGTAACACCCTCTCGCAATAACAGAGCTTCCTGTCAGAGATCTGCTGCACAAGGCTCCGGGCCCCGAATGAGAAATGCATGCAAGGGAGAAGCGGATGTAAGAGTTCAAATGTTACTACACTGTACTAAAGGTTTAGGTGAGAGAGAGAGAGAGAGAGAGAAACACTTCCATGTGTGAACGGACGAAGAAGTTGGGATATTTTATGCTGATCATGCCAGCAACAAGTCTTGGTATGGATGAATACAATAACAGATGCAAAACGTTTTAAGTCGGAGAATAGATGCCCCAGATTGTTACTTTGTTACTTGGAAAGACCATACTGTTTTACATCACAGTTAGTAATATATGATATATGATATACTAAAAAAAATTAATACATAGAGCACAGTATTTAAAAACCTTTAAAAAATAAATATCTGGAGCCAGAAACTGATGCGGATCCCCTTCTAAATCTAAATGTGTTTCTCGCCAAATTCTACAACTTTGAGTTATCTTACAAACCAAGGGGACAGTACCGCTTCAACATACTTTCCGAAATGATTTGTATTATTTTTACAGCATTGACCACATTTGTGAAAGAACCATTACCTTTCCTGGTTTGTGTCCGGTAATTGCGCTAATTCTGGCGTCATTCAAGTCATTTTTTTCATCCAAACCGACCGTATGAATGTTCCTAAGTATAAACACATATGAAGCACCCTCCCTCACAAACAGACCTCACAAACACTATCATTTTCTCCCAACTTTTTATTTTGCGTAATCTTTAAACTGTGCGATGCATCATTGAATGTAATCCTGCCTTTGTCAAAAAAGTTTCATAGCAAAAAAAAAAAAGTGCGCCTGTGTCATGATCTTAGAAGGAAGGAAAGCATAAACCCTTTCCCAACCTAAAAGCGAGCGGATATTCACCCTGAACCAACAACAAAACCGATCCATCCTGAGACTCAATCCAAAATAGTTTAGTAGAAGTGGCTCCAGCTTCATCATATTAATAACCGCTTGTTTGTGGGCGTTCACATGTGTGCGAGGGCCTGGGAGAGCTGCAGTCAGCGTGGGAACGGCAGGGTCATGACAGTGGGATTGACTTTACAAACACACTTTTCACAACACTCGCTGCGCTCCCAAATATAGACTCTTATGATGGAAACGGGAGGGAGGAAAAAAAAGGCACTGCCGCTTTTAAAAAATGCTTCTCTTTTGAACCCAATTTGAAATAGTAGTGTGTTCACACGTAGATAAACCTGAGTGCTCGGAATGTTTCCAAACCATTGCTTCCTCTGCTCTGCCGTCGCCAGCCGTTTCACATCTGTTGGGTAAATTGTATTACATCCCGCTTCCCCCAAATGCATTTATACCCCTTGAGGAGACGAAGTACCTCCGTTTATAGATTGCATAACTCAATTATCAACAAAAAAAGACCTGTATTCGAAGGCTGGGAGGGAAACTAAAAACGTGTTCACCTTGACGAAATAACAGAAATAGTATGTTCAGGTTTTATATAAAGAGAACATTCTAGATGTACGCACTTATACAGGGGAATTCATTGTCCGCTTAAATCAAATAGCCGTCCTTCACTATCCACAGCCGAATGAAAAGAGCAATAAGCAGTTAAGAAGAACATCCTTTACCCAGATGATCAATACTTTGACACAAGCCTCATGGGTGCCAATACACTGGAGGTGAAGCCCGCCTGCCATCTTTCTTGACTGATAGTAATTTCTTTAATGGAGTATTGATGACCCTTCGTTTGTATAATAATGTGTTTATTCTAGGTCTCTGGACACTGGGCCGTCGTCTGCTCCATTTAAAGTCATTGACCTGAATGGACGGCTTTATGACCTGGAGCTAAATTCTCATTAGGGGGCAGGGGGCTACAAGGAAAACCATTCGCAAGCAAATTAAACCAGAATTTCTATTGGGTTTGATTCCATTATTATTATTATTATTATTTTTGCATTACTGAATTTGTTGTATACTACTACGGCTGAACGATTGATTCAAAACAAATTATTGTCATGGCGGTGTTAGCAAGTGTATTATCCATATTGCAATGTGGCGCGTGTTATTAATATGTGAAAATCATTAACGCATATACTTGTTTTTACTCAAACCAATCATACGCAAGCTTAAATGAGAGCCTCCCTTTTCATTGGCCAGAGCGAGTGCACAAACTGACGTGGCTGAGCGATAGATCCGGGTTAAAAAGAGCGGTGAAAACATTTCCCAAAACGTGGAAATTTGCATCTGAAACGAGTCTCTCTTAAGCCAGACAAAAAAAGACATAGATTGTTAATGGGGAATGCAAAACCAGAGCACTCACTTCGCTGAACAACATATCTTTAATGGTAACACGGTCTGACTCTGGTGTAAAATGGGAATTAAAAATATGGGCTAAATTGCCAAAGAACTCATTACTTCTAACAGTTATGAACTTATTTACACCTGTTGTGACTGAAATGTATTTTAACGTTCACCGCAAAGAAAGTTCATTCCATTCCTTTCAAATGTATAAGTTTGTTTCATGCAAATATCTCTTTGGGGAACAGGAAATATTGCAGTCGTTGACATCACCATCTCATATCGCACTTTAACGTGCAGCTCTAAATATATACAACTGTCCTTGCTTGAGCCAAATACATGTGTTGTAGTAATTACGCAGGGACAAATGGCCTGTAGAAGATCGGTATCTACCACACAACGCTGTTAGCAGACCTGAGCATCTCATTTAGGAGTAGCGGCCCAAGGACACAGCCAAAATCACATTATCTCCACAAACAGCACGAGCCGGAAACGCGCGGACGCCAAGCTGACACTGTCCTCCGCTGTGAATGGAGTGGCCTTATCAACGTGATCCTATGAGAATTACAAAGACATGCCTCCCACCAATATTAAGCCAGAATTTGATTTGAAATTGGCCTGATATAAAAGAAGCATCAATAATAAGCAGCATGGTCTCAAAACTATGGGTGGGCGACTAAAATATGAATGTTTTTGATAATGATATTCATAAAATGGCAACCGGAAATCTATCAACACTGTGGTATGACATGGCTCAGAATGTCTTTAGGCAGAAGATTCATATGCAAAAAATGCATTAACTGAGAAATTTTAATCAAAGTTAAAGCAGTTTTCTGGAGCAATTGTGCAGGTCTCATTATCCCTTCTTTCACATGTTCACAGTAGGAGCTTAGCACCTTCTGATGTGCAAATAATCTATACTTTTTTGATTTAAGATTCACATTCCTTATAAAAGTAACTATACAAGTTCAGGAATTTGCACTAAGTAAGTGCATAATTACTTGTATTAATCAATCATCCAATCTAATAAGAAAGCCAAGAATACCACTGCATAGGTACCACCTCTGTAGAGCTAATAACACAATGTTTTCTATAAGTGCACCTGCCCAAAGGCTTGTATTAATGGCAATTGCTTCATTAAGATTAGAAGTTTAGAACATAATACAAAATATGACTTATCATCATGGGATATTGTTTTAAAGCCCATTACTCCTTTCCATGGCCTGAACTAACAATTGGAGTCTTTTTTTTTACTCACTTGTATCAGTGTGCTTAAAGTCACCATTGAGGAGCGGTGTCTGCTCCAAGCGCTCTCTCTCTCATGACAGGGAATGAACTCTGGCCTCAACGCTGACTTTTGAAGCCACTTCTCACCACTGAACTCTAATGCAGTGTGAAAGCCGAGGGCTCATTGATCAAAGTGG